TATCATGAATTATCAAAACCTCGTGTCTGTATTATCTGCCTCAGCCTTCGGCTTCGGCAGCTAACACAGACCTCGGTTTTGATAATTCATGATATCATGCTCAACCTCATCCAATAATTATTTAATATAAGTTTTAAAATATTTACACATATAAATAAATATAATCTTTACTGATTACTAAATAAAAACACGTATCTAACATTACAAAGTCGATAAGAGGAAAGCTATATAGAATAGAGAAACAACTAGAAAATGGAAGAGAATAAGATAAAAAATACATAAATACTCGCAAAACGAGTTACATTATAAAAACTGAGTCTTTTTACATAAATGTATTCCTAAAAAGTTCCAAATGTTTCTTGGACGCATACAAATAATGGAATCAGAGCAATCCAGCAGAAGGCGAAGAGGTAAGTTGGCTTTTAAATTCGGAAAGCGATCGTGGCGTGCTGTTTTTGCCTCGTAAGAAAGATTGTTCCAGAGCATTGCACCACTATACTGAAAACTAGGTTGGAGGAAAATTGGAGGACGCGCGCGCGCGAAGGTTGAAAAGGAGAGGAGGCCCCCTCCCCACTTCTCGTGTTCCCCTCGCGCGTCCTGTATGAAAATAATAACCAGCGCCTGTTACCCAGGCTAAGGCTAGGTTCACACGAAAAGCTATCCGTTATCAGGGGTATGAACACTTATCCGATATTTGACTCTCCACTTCAGAGATCGTTGCGACGCAGCTTCGCTCCGTTGCAGAAATCGCGCCAACAGAAGCCCAATCTGGTATGGTCAGTTCGTTCCGGCACTAAAACGGCTATGCGGTAACATATAACCTAAGTCCAGAAATTTATCCTGTTCAAACTATAGGTAGTGAGATTGTATACCATGTTTCTGACTCAAAGCCCCCAAATCTGCACCCTATTTTGCGGCGGCTATCAGTTTAGGCCAAAAAAGGTAATCATCCATCCTTGGAAGTGGGACATGGGGTGATCAAAGTCGTCAATTTCCCCACAAAACCCGGCGTTTGGGTTTTGTGATATTCATGGCGCATTGCAGTGAGCTCCAGGAACCATTGAAAATCTGGCCTCATGAGTTATAGTATCTGAGTTGTGGGTATAGATGCTGCACACGATTTCCCACTTGTGGGTCACACGTTATCCGATCCTTCGTGACCGTCTACTCAGGTAGTTGTGGCTGTGCTAGGTGTGGGGGTGGGGGGGTGGATGATATGGGAGGGGTGTGGTGTTTTGGGGGCGGGGGGGGGGGCTTAATTAATTTAGTTAAGATGATGGTGTCAGTTCTCCATAAAGAACTGGAATGCAAAGTGGAAAAGCTCAACCACAAGAAGTTAGAGGTCATGCAACCAAGGATCAAAACAAATCTGAACTTCCAACACATGAATAAACCATCCTGGATCAGTCCAAATAAAGGTTTACAGCTGTGATTGATTAATACAGTCTATCATTTATTAGTGAAGACTAATGAGGGGGAGGGAGGGTGGCTTATTTTAGAGAGGGCTCAATAGAGGATTTATGGTTGTTGCTGGTCACAACTTGGGAACATTTGTTCACTGTTTGGACCCACTTTCATTATTCCCCTACTTGTTAATATTTAAAACTGTTTTGTATTTATTTTCAGATACAAGTCAGGCAAGAACAAGTGGTTTTTCCAGAAGCTGAGGTTCTAAAAAGCAACCTTGTACAAAATAATAAAGCTTAATTTCAAATGGATCTTTGTTTTCATTCGTTTTCCATTTCTCTAGCGTAGGTTAACACTTGGTGACTGAAATATAGCATTTTGAATTTACCATTACCTGTACAACAATAATAATTTATTAGGTTATAAAAATCGCAGTTGTAAGTGCCTTTACTTCCTTTTTATTGAAGCCCATGTTTCTCTAACCTGTACAAGTAGTGAATGGATTTGATCGGGGAATGCTGAAGCTGCGCAAGAGCATGCTTCAAAACTAAGGCAGGCTTTGTTTCTCTGTGTAATTTTTGACGTTGATCGCAGGTTTCTATTCACTACATAAAAAACTGGGAAGTGTAAACTTAACCGTGGATACATTACACCTTCACGGCGAAAAAACTGCCCAGGGCATTTATTTAATTTCTGTTGCCCGGTAGTGGACTTTTAATAGGTAGGAGGCGTTTATCAAGCTCAACAAAACGAATATGCTTCCGGTGACCAGAATATCCAGTACATATGAGAGTATGTCTACTCTCATATGTTGATCACACCTGATGTTGGTAAACCAGAAGTTAAACACGTTTGCGTGACGACCTAACCCGTACGCAAAACAACTTAAGACGTAAGCCAACAGAATGTAGGTGAAAAGACTCGTTGGCGAAACAACGGGTCACCCAATTAGACAAGGGGCGATTTTTTAGAGAGGGGCCAATACAAAATTAACATCGTAGGGGGCTGTCAATTGGGCAAGAGGCTTGAGATGGGTAGCCTGCGTTGCAGCCGGCCCACGCACTCGACTAAACCATTTGTATAAAGGTTTAGA